AAAATGGGATTAAAAAATAGGATTAAAATGGGAAAAAATGGTAAAAAAATGGGATTAAAAAGGGAAAAAATGGGATAAAAATGGGATTAAAAAGGGAAAAAATGGTATAAAAATGGGATAAAAAATGGGATAAAAAGGGGATAAATTCTGTGGTCTGTAAATCAGGTAAAAAAGCAGAAATCCCATGAAATATTTTGGATTTTCTCAGGTTTGCCAAGCTGCTGCTGCGGCTGCCGGCGCTGCGCTCCATCGGCCTCAAGTGCCTGGAGCATCTTTTCTTCTTCAAACTCATCGGGGACACGCCCATCGACACCTTCCTGATGGAGATGCTGGAGGCGCCCCACCAGCTCTCCTGAGAGCCCAAAATATCCCCAAAATATCCCCGAAATATCCCCAAAATATCCCCGAAATATCCTCAAAATATTCCCAAAATATCCCCAAAATATCCTGGAAATACTCCCAAAATATCCACAAAATATCCCCAAAATATCCTCAAAATATTCTCAAAATATCCTCAAAATATCCTGGAAATATCCTCAAAATATCCTGGAAATATTCCCAAAATATCCACAAAATATCCTCGAAGTCGCTCCCAAATAGCTGCAAAAAATCCCCCAAATATCCCCAAAATATCCTGGAAATATTCCCAAAATATCCCCGAAATATTCTGGAAATACTCCCAAAATATCCACAAAATATCCCCGAAATATCCTCAAAATATCCCCAAAATATCCCCAAAATATCCCCGAAATATCCCCAAAATATCCCCAAAATATCCTCAAAATATTCCCAAAATATCCCCAAAATATCCTCAAAATATCCTGGAAATACTCCCAAAATATCCCCGAAATATCCTGGAAATATTCCCAAAATATCCCCGAAATATCCTGGAAATATTCCCAAAATATCCACGAAATATTCCCAAAATATCCCCAAAATATCCCCAAAATATTCCCAAAATATCCTCAAAATATTCTGGAAATATTCCCAAAATATCCACAAAATATCCCCGAAATATCCTCAAAATATCCCCAAAATATCCCCAAAATATCCACAAAATATCCTGGAAATATTCCCAAAATATCCCCAAAATATCCTCAAAATATTCCCAAAATATCCTCAAAATATCCTTGAAATATCCCCGAAATATCCCCAAAATATCCTGGAAATATTCCCAAAATATCCCCAAAATATTCTCAGAATATCCCCGAAGTCGCTCCCCAATAGCTGCAAAAAATCCCCCAAATATCCCCAAAATATCCTCAAAATATCCCCAAAATATCCCCAAAATATTCCCAAAATATCCTCAAAATATCCTGGAAATATTCCCAAAATATCCCCAAAATATCCCCAAAATATCCCCAAAATATTCTCAAAATATCCCCAAAATATTCCCAAAATATCCTCAAAATATCCCAAAATATCCCCAAAATATGCCCCAAATATCTCTAAAAAAATCCCCATTTTTTCCCCAATTTTTCCCCAAAATTCTCCCAAATTTTCCCCAATTTTTCCCCAAATTTCCCCAATTTTCTCCTAAATTTTTCCCCAATTTTTCCCAAAATTCCCAGATTTTCCCCAAAAGCCCCCCAAAAATTCCCAAATTTCCCCCCAAACTCCCCAAAATTCCCAAATTTTCCCAAAATTCCCAAATTTTCCCTCCCCTCCCGTGAGCACTTTGGCCCCTCCCACCCCCGATTTTTGGGGGGTTCTGGAAGGTCCCAAAATTCCCCCAAAATCCCCCAAAAAATCCCCCAAAAATTCCCAAAATTCCCAAAATTCCCTGAAATCCCCCAAAATTCCCCAAAATTCCCAAAAATCCCCCAAAAAATCCCACAAATCCCCCCAAAATTCCCAAAATTCCCCGAAATCCCCCAAAATTCCCCAAAAATTCCCAAAATTTCCAAAAATTCCCCAAAAATCCCCCCAAAATCCCTAAAATTCCCCAAAATTCCTCAAAAATTCCCCAAAATTCCCCAAAACTCCCAAAATTCCCCCAAAATTCCCCAAAATTTTCCCCAAATATCCCCAAAATCCTCCCAAAATTCCGCAAAATTCCCTAAAAAAACCCCAAATTTCCCGACAAAATCCCCAAAATTCCCAAAATTCCCCCAAAATTCCCCAAATTTTCCCAAAATTCCCCAAAATTCCCAATTTCCCTTCCCAAGAAAAGCTTTGGATTTTCAGTGATTAAAATTTGCTGCTTCAAAAATGGAATTTTGGGGCCATTTTGGAGATTTTTGGGGAAAATTTGGGCATTTTGGGGCAATTTTGGGAGAAAAATTGGGATTTTTGGGGAGAATTTGGGATTTTTGGGGAGAATTTTGGGGGAAATTTGGGATTTTTGGGGGAAAATTTTGGGGGGAAATTTGGGATTTTTGGGTGGGATTTTGGGATTTTTTGGGGGGGGAAAATTTGGGAATTGAGGGGAAATTTTGGGGGAAAAATTTGGGATTTTTGGGTGGGATTTGGGGATTTTTTTGGGGGAAAATTGGGTTTTTTTGGGGAAAATTTGGGTCGGAATTTTGGGGATTTTTGGGGTTGGATTTTTGGGATTTTTGGGTATGATTTTGAGGTGGATTTTTTGGATTTTGGGGTTGGATTTTGGGAGGTTTTTTGGAGGATTTGGGGAGGATTTTTTGGGATTTTGGGTTGGGATTTTTGGGATTGTGGGGTTGGATTTTGGGGTGGATTTTGGGAGAATTTTGGGATTTTTGGGTTGGAATTTTTGGGATTTTTGGGTTGGATTTTGGGAGGATTTTTGGGATTTGGGGTTGGATTTTGGGGATTTTTGGGTTGGATTTTTAGGATTTCGGGATTTCGGGGTTGGGATTTTTGGGATTTCAGGGTTGGATTTTTGGGATTTTGGGGTGGGTTTTTGGGTGGATTTTGGGAGAATTTTGGGAGCATTTTTGGGAGTTCAAGATTGGATTTTGGGCTGGATTTTGGGGTGGATTTTTGGGATTTTGGGCTGGATTTTTGGGAATTGGGGTTGGATTTTTGGGTGGATTGGGGCAAAACCCCAGAATGTTGTGAGGAAACCCAAAATCTGGGATGAAACCCCAAAACTGGGGACAAAACCCCAAAATTCGAGGAGAAAACCCCAAAATTTGGGGAGAAACCCCAAAATTTGCATAACCACGCCCCCAGCAGAGCCAGAACCGCGCTTAAAGCCCCGCCCCCGCGCCCTAATTTGCATAACCCCGCCCACAAACCGCGCGAACGCGGCCGAAACCCCGCGCTCCCTCATTTACATAACCACGCCCTCTCACCCAATCAAACCGCGGGAGAAGCCACGCCCCCTTCCCCTTGGCCACGCCCCCTCCTCTCGCGCCGCCCCAGCCCAGCGGCGCCTCCCATTGGCCGCCGCCGGCGGTGACGTCACCCGGCGGCGCCACCCGGAAGCGGCGGCGGCGTCGCGCGGCTCGGGGCGGGATTTTGGGGGATTTTGGGGTTTTTTAGGGGATTTTGGGGATTTTTGGGGTTTTTGGGGGGCCATGGCCGCGCCCGCCGGCGCGCAGAGCGCCAGCAAGACCTGGGAGCTGAGCCTGTACGAGCTGCACCGCACCCCGCAGGTGAGCGCGGAGTTTGGGGGGAAAAAACCCAATTTGGGGAAAAAAAAACGAAATTTGGGGAAGGTCGGAAATGGGGGAAACGCCGGAATTTGGGGGGAGCCGAAATTTGGGGTGGAACAGCCGGAATTTGGCGGCCAAAGTGAAATTTTGGGGGGAAAAAACCTGAAATTTTGGAAGGGGAGGGAAAGCGAATTTTGGGGGGAAAAATCGAAATTTTGGGGGTGAAAGAAAGTGTCGGGATTGGGGAGTCAAATTTGGGGGAAAAACGCGGGATTTGGGGGAAAACTGAAATTTGGGGGTGGGAAGAACTGAAATTTGTGGAGAAAAATGGAAAATTTGGGGGAAAAAAAACGAAATTTGGGTGTCAGAATTGGGGGAAACCTGAAATTTTGGGGGAAAATGCTGGAATTGGGGGGAGAAACTCCAAAATTTGGGGAGAAAACCCCAAAAATGGGGAGAAACCCCAAAATTTGGGGATGAAAACCCAAAATTTGAGGAAAACCTCCGAATTTCGGGGTCAGAATTGGGGGAAAACCCCAAAATTTGGGAGGAAAAACTCCAAAATGTTGGGAGGAAAACCCAAAATTGGGGTAAACCCCAAAATTGGGGAGAAACCCCAAAATTTTGGGAGGAAAACGCCGGAACTGGGGGGAGAAACTCCAAAATTTGGGGATGAAAACTCAAAATTGGGGAGAAACCCCAAAATTTGGGGATGAAACCCCAAAATTTGGGGATGAAACCCCAAAATTGGGGAGAAACCCCAAAATTTGGGGAAAATGCCAAAATTTCGGGGTCAGGATTGGGGAAAACCCCAACATTTTGTGAGGAAACCCCGAAAATGGGGGAAAACCCCAAAATTTGGGACAAACCTCAAAATTTTGGGAGGAAAATGCCGGAACTGGGGGGAGAAACTCCAAAATTTGGGGATGAAAACCCAAAATTTGGGGAAAACTTGGAAATTTGGTGGGATCAGAGCTGTCCCCATGGGTGTCACTGACCCCAGGGTGTCCCCAGGGTGTCCCATGGGTGTCACTGTCCCCAGAGTGTCCCCAATGTCCCCAGGGTGTCCCCAGGGTGTCCCATGGGTGTCACTGACCCCATGGGTGTCCCCAGTGTCCCCATGGGTGTCCCTGATGTCCCCAGGGTGTCCCCATGGGTGTCCCCAGGGTGTCCCATGGGTGTCACTGACCCCAGGGTGTCCCATGGGTGTCACTGACCCCAGGGTGTCCCCAGGGTGTCCCCAATGTCCCCAATGTCCCCGATGTCCCCAGGAGGCCATCATGGACGGCACGGAGATCGGGGTGTCCCCTCGGTGTCCCTGTGGGTGTCACCGATGTCACCGATATCTCAGGGTGTCACTGATGTCACAGGGGTGTCACTGTCCCCGATGTCCTCAGGAGGCCACCATGGATGGCACGGAGATTGGGGTGTCCCCTTGGTGTCCCCATGGGTGTCACCCATGTCCCCAATGTCCCCGATGTCCCCAGGAGGCCATCATGGACGGCACGGAGATCGCCGTGTCCCCTTGGTGTCCCTGTGGGTGTCCCCAATGTCCCCAATGTCTCAGGGTGTCCCCAATGTCCCCAATGTCCCCAGGAGGCCATCATGGACGGCACGGAGATCGCCGTGTCCCCTCGGTGTCCCTGTGGGTGTCCCCAATGTCCCCAATGTCTCAGGGTGTCCCCAATGTCCCCAATGTCCCCGATGTCCCCGATGTCCCCAGGAGGCCACCATGGACGGCACGGAGATCGCCGTGTCCCCTCGGTGTCCCCGTGGGTGTCACCCATGTCTCAGGGTGTCCCCAATGTCCCCGATGTCCCCGATGTCCCCAGGAGGCCATCATGGATGGCACGGAGATCGCCATGTCCCCTTGATGTCCCCGTGATGTCCCCAGGGGTGTCCCCTCGATGTCCCCGTGGGTGTCACCCATGTCTCAGGGTGTCCCCGATGTCCCCGATGTCCCCAGGAGGCCACCATGGACGGCACGGAGATCTCGGTGTCCCGTCGGTGTCCCCGTGGCTATCAGGGGTGTCACAGGGGTGTCCCTGTGGGTGTCACCAATGTCTCAGGGTGTCACCGATGTCTCAGGGTGTCCCCAATGTCCCCAATGTCCCCGATGTCCCCAGGAGGCCATCATGGACGGCACGGAGATCGCTGTGTCCCCTCGGTGTCCCTGTGGGTGTCACCGATGTCCCCGATGTCCCCAATGTCCCCGATGTCCCCAATGTCCCCGATGTCCCCGATGTCCCCAATGTCTCAGGGTGTCACCGATGTCCCCGATGTCCCCAATGTCCCCGATGTCCCCAGGAGGCCATCATGGACGGCACGGAGATCGCCGTGTCCCCTCGGTCACTGCACTTGGAGCTGATCATGGTGACACAGGGGTGTCCCTATGGGTGTCCCTGATGTCCCCAATGTCCCCGATGTCCCCGATGTCCCCATGGGTGTCCCCAATGTCCCCAATGTCCCCAACGTCCCCGATGTCCCCGATGTCCCCAGGAGGCCATCATGGACGGCACGGAGATCGCCGTGTCCCCGCGCTCGCTGCACTCGGAGCTGATGTGCCCCATCTGCCTGGACATGCTGAAGAACACCATGACCACCAAGGAGTGTCTGCACCGCTTCTGCTCCGACTGCATCGTGACAGCCCTGAGGAGCGGGTCAGTGTCACCTGTGTCACCTGTGTGTGTCACCTGTGTGTGTCACCTGTGTGTGTCACCTGTGTCACTGTCACACCTGTGTGTGTCACCCTGTGTCACCCTGTGTCTGCACCGCTTCTGCTCCGACTGCATCGTCACCGCGCTGCGCAGC